TTTCAGTACCGTTGACACGATTTCTAGAGTTTTAATTGACCGATTCACTTGAAATGTTGAGAGAGTTTTGTTTATAGACCTATCTATAGCCCAAACTAAGATTACCCCCAAATTCCAAATTTAACTATTTTTAAAAAATTCGAGAAACAAAAAAAAACAGTAAAAAACACTTTTTTCAAAGGTCGCCAATTTGTAAAAAAAAAGATTATTTTTGCTCATCGCTAGTTCGGGCGATTGCGACATCATTGTAGATTAATAATCTTCTTATTTTTTGCATTTCCGATGGCTAGAAGGGCTGAAATCATGTCAAGACTGAAGTGCCAATTATTTGAGACCACCCACTTCATCAGCTGCCAGTTTTTACAATTTTCAACTTTTTTATTTTGTAATTATTGTTTTGTATTTTAATAATATTGATAAACAAGTGGTAAAAAAATGGATAGTAAAAACTTTCATTGCTTTCTTTTACGACACTTTAAAAATGACCTAAAATGCGTGGCTCTACACTAGAATACCCCCTTCATTTCCAAAAACATTTTTTTTATTACAGAAAATAATGCAGATATTCAAAATTTTAACTCGGTACGAAAAGTTTCAGCAATTGTACCTTAAGGCACAATGCCATACACCACTAGTTTCATTTTGTTTTCAATGTATTTGCCATAGTATTCATCAGTAATAGTAGATACACCATTGGGAATATCTTATTATTTTTTAGTCAATACTGTATCTATCACTTTAAGCTGTGGAAATAAAATTCATATACTAAATTATAGCAGTGTTTTTTAACTCTCAATCGTTGTGTAAAAATTCATTGAAAGAAAATGCGATACAACTTATCATTCATTCATTTATCAATTTATTCTATATATACATTTCCTTTTCAAAATATTGAAAAATATGAACGATCTGTTCACTTCGGCATTGGTGCATGAACTGTGCAAAAAATAGGTTGGCAATTTGAAAAAAATATTGTCAATCATATTTCTCCATATCTGAACTGTCTATCATAACACATACATGTCAGGAACGTCGTCTCCAAAGAAAATATTCCGTAGGGCAAAGCGAAGGATTACTTTCAGTCATGTCAAGTCGTAATATAAAAAGCCGGGCTGGTATGTCACACTGCTATGAAATGTTTCATCAAATAGCTTCAAATGCACGTTTGTAATAAATTTCGAGGCACGGTGGTGGTTGTTTTCTTTTACCGGTATTTTATTCATTACTAGAAATTTCATTCACTCGAAATAATTTAACTTTAATAGCGATCACTAAAATTTACTCGAACATTCCACATTCAATGCTGATACTGGCATTGAGCAAGGATGCATCAGATAGTATATTTTCTTAAAAAAAAAAATTTATTACAACTACATAGTGATAATTACAATATTTTATGAATGTGCCAATGATGTACATTTATCCTAGTTTTCGAAACTGCTCATATACACTGATGATGGCACAATTTCTATGCACATATTTCAATCCATTGGAACAAGAGCTTTTTTGGCCCTGCAATAAAAGCTTTGGCATTTCAACAAGAAGGTTTTTAGATTCATATCCACCTACAACAGCTTTATATCAAGCAGCAGAATATGCATTTAACCCTATGCACTCCATTACAATATTTGATATAAACTATTAAAGAATTGGAGTGCAAAGGGTTGAAATGCCTTGAAGCTATAGATGAAAATATACTACAAATATAGATAGGATAAAGATTATTTTGCCTTCTTAAAAGCCACGTAGTTAAGATGATTTGAGGCTTGATATTTGAGAATGATGAGTAAAGTCTTTAGAGGTTTCCTGGTTTGATACCCTCCCAGGACATACTAATATCAAGCAGTTGTTATATTTATTTTTACTTGCAAATATGTATATATATATATATATATATATTTGTCTGCATATAAATGTTAAAATTATCATTGTCAAACATAATATTTCTAGCATACACGTCCATTATAAATCATTATATATAACTTTATGCAAATCATGAATATGTAAATACATAATTCAACACACCTGGAAACGTCAATCACATTTAATCAAATAAATTTGCACGTTGTATCATGTTGCACATCTGCATGAATCCACGAAATATTGTTTTATCAAAATGTTAACATTTATGGGATAATAAATTATAAAGGAATGATAATGAAGTGGTTTTGAAGTAAATTTACATTGGGCATTTTGTGTTAAAAATATACATTAAAAAATTGAAGACATTGTCTAATAGGATTTTTGCAACTCCTAGTCCAAATGACACTAGTGTATTTATGATTCATTTAAAATTTAGTTAATTGAAGATTTGTAATATCGTACAGTAATTTTAAATTTACTTATATGGTGAACGATTATAGAGTCGTCGTAGATTGAATTTTATTTCTATGTTTCTTATTTTCTGGTGTTCAACTTTAAAATCCATTTAATACCGTCTTAATGAAAACAATTAATTTTAAGTTTGGCAACGCTACAAAGCCAGAAATGCAAATAATCTTCCAGCTAATTCTTGAAACACCATGAAATTAATTAAATAAATTTCATTACTTTGTTTAATAGTTATTAATATCACAATGTAAAATTCTGCTTTAAATTAAGAGACTAGCTAAAATTATCAATTAGCTTCATAGAAATTTAGTAAAATTCAGTCCGTTAAATAATAATAGATATAAATACTATCTTACACGAAAAATATCAAAATTAAATTGTTTTTATGTAACTTTGTTCCATAAGTTTGGTGAACAATATGATTAATTTCGAGTGGTTTCATTACACGTTACATTTCCAAATAAAAATCTTGAAAATAAGAGGCCAAAACATTTTATATGAAGAAAGGAGCGTAACATACCGTTGCCATAACAACGCTACGCTACGGTCAATTTTAAAGGAAAATTGGTTCGTAAGTTCTTTTATGTACAAATATAGTCATTACAAATGAGGTACATAAATTACAAGGAAAAATTACAATAAAATTACCAAATAGAAATTTGGTTAAATTATATTCAAAATTTTTATATATTATATTTAATATTCATTACTATTCTTAACCCGGTACTATATTTGCTTTCTATTAAGAATCCTTTTTTATTGTTGACGTGAGCATAATCGTTAAATTAACCATAGATAATTCAAATTCCTCATTTGCATACGATATTAAATCAGTCTGTATCGAAAGATAATGAAAATTCGTATTCGGACGAACGTTATGTACATAAAGTTCATAATGAAAATGTAATATGATGTCTGCACGCAATTGTTTAATCAGCCCGTCGAAAGCTTGTTACTCAATAAAACTACGTAAATATACGTGCATGCCTTCTGACCATTATTTTACACCCTTGTCCTGTTCAAATATAGACAACGAAAAGAATAGAATTCAACGAGCTAATAATATTTGTCTAATAATCAAGAGCTTCTTTATTTTTGGAAATCATCGATCATCAAGGTTCTGGAACACGAATTAGCATTGTTATTAGTTATAACGATGGCAACTTATTTTATATTTTATGAACGCTAGTTTCTTTAGAAATCTTATTTAAGATTATATTCAAGACAAAACTGTTATCACTGGAGCTTGATATCAGATTGACCAAGGAGGAAATCAAACCTGGAACCTTATAGTTGCATGGTATAAGCTTTTACCACTTTAGCCACAAATAAGACCCCTATTTCCAAATAGAAATGAAATCTGAATTGGATATACAATAGCAACAAGTACCAACAATGGTGGAGTAAATAGCTCAGTCAGTAGCATGCCCGACTCACAGACCAGAGAATTATTATATTAAATAACATTGACATAGAATTGTCGTTTAATTTGTTGGTAGTATAAATTGAAAATTGATTTTTTTTAACTAATTTGTAATATTAAAAGTTTATATCTCTGAATGTAAAGCCAAAAAACAAATTAAGTAATTAATGAAGCCGATACTAAACTTGTTTGTATTCTCTTATTTCTATGGAAATTTTCTGGAAATTAATATTTTTATTATTTAATATTCAAATAATTTTGAAATTTATAATATATGAAATCAGTTCATATTTTAAATAAAAATATATTTCATAAAAATTTTTTTTAATATTATATACCATCGAAAATTAGTTAAATAATGTCAAGATTAATTACAAATATATAATTATAATCTGTAGTGTATATATATTTTTACATAAATATATACATACCTACGGGTTTATAAAACTGAGCTTCAACATATTTAATCCGCAAAACTTTTTAAAAATATATAATAAACGTCATTATTAAAATTTACATTTCAGAATGCAATTATTTCTTTGGCATCCTTTTTCAGAACTACATTTTTAACAAGTTTTAACTTGATTCCGTGATATTAATTCTAGGAGTTGAGAACTTTTCATGCTAAAGTTGTAAAGTTGACTAATTTAAAGACTTATCTAACAACTTGATATATTAATATTTATATAAAAGCTTTGAAGATATATATATATACATAAGTAGTTTCTTGAAATTAATTAACTTACAAGTTATGCAACTTGTCTGTGATAACCTCCATAATTGAAACTAAATTTAAAATAATTATTGTAGAAATATTTAATCAAGAAAAAAGTAGGATACGTGACAAGGAGTTAATATTCAAGATTTTATCGCAAGGTTTAATAGGCATATTTCAAGAAAAACTAAATTAAAATAATATAAACCAAATTTTGAAAGATCTCTATGCCCATATGAGGTACCCACACTTTCAGACTTGAAACTTTAAGAAAAAGAAATTTTATTTTGTATAAAGATATATAAAAAATGTATTCGAATAAGTGTATAAGTACGCCTTTATGCAAAAAATATTATCATCATCTTATAAAAAGATTACTTATCTATATAAGCATGCATGTATTATAGTAAGTACTGTACGCTCCGCAAATTTCCGTGCAATTTTAACAATAAATAAATTGTTTCCACAACTCCAGGAACAATATTTTCGCCGTATAACTGTTCAGTGCTTAAGTTGGTTTTATTTTTGCAGAGACGCCGAGACATAACCCCATAATAACGGGTATAAAACCGCGCTATAAGATCGGAGACATAATGCGCGGCAATTGTACTTCGAAGCATTCCAGGCCACCAGCCAACATAACATGGCAAATAAATGGACACTCGGTAAGTATAAGTGGAAAATAATGAAATCGAATTTAAGCATAATTTTTTATTTTGTTTCATTATTTGAGTTTTGAAATTAAGGGCAGTTCATTAATTACGTGGGGTTTGACAAAAAAAAAATACGAGATATCACAAGAGGGAGAGGGGTCTTGTAAGAGATCACAAAATTTTATTGTTTACCTGAATTTAATAAAAAATCAACATTTAAAAAAAATCTAAATTTTACGATAATTTCTTAATAAGCATCATCAAGCACAAGGGGTGTCCAAAAATCCTTAAAGAGCGACCAAGTCATTATTGGTTGTACTCTTATGGTTACATCATCATTATTAGCAATACTGTGATTGCTGGATATTTTCAACTCTTGGTACTGTTATTTGTAGTCCGAATGAATTACTAATCCCTAAAATAAAAAAATATGGATAAGTTTTGTATAATGTATATATTGTACTCGATTTGCTAAATACTACTACAAATTTGGGAATTCGTAGGTACTACCATTAAGTTTATTTATTTATTTATTTATTCATAAGTAAGCCGTAATCAATAATAATAGATATTATTTTAGGCTCTCGTCAAAAAAATTTTTACAATTCTAATACTATAGAAGACTATATTATTAATTGACAAAATAATTTAAATCAATTATTCAAAAATCTTCCAAACGTATTTAATAATTTATGAAAAATATTTCAAATATACCGTGAATAACAAAAAATATAAAAAAAATTTTTTTTTTTTCATTTTAATCAACATACGATATATTACGAAGAGCGTCAGAACTACTTTTTCCGAGCACTTCCGCAGATTTTAAATAATTTTTATAGCTTTACCCATCAATTTAATTAAGCACTTCAAGTTGTCTAAGCAACTTTGCCTAAATGATTGGCAAGGATGCATCGTTACATAATTGATATCTCGAGCAACGCAAAATTACTTAAATCTAATTAATTTGTGTTATGCAAATCTAATAAGTCGTCGTAATTACTAGATTATAGTATGCATATGCTAAATTCGTTTTTGATAGAAGAGAAAATGATTAAGGAGAGAAAAAACAAAATAGGGAAATCGTCTATAAATATTAGCAGTACAAAATGTACAAAAGTACAAAGTTTCATTCAAATTGGAATAATAAAAAACTATGTTGAATATTGTAAAATTTATACTTGTAATTTAGAATCTGTTCATACTATAGAAAATGATTGCATTTCTTAATTTATCGATAAATCATCTAACGTAGCTTGAATTTAATATGCAATAAAATAATATATATTGTTTTCATTTTTATTAACAAAGTTCAATGCTAATAGTGATTTTTAGAGGTTTGAGTTTTAAGTATTAAGCGAACAAAATATATTAAAGTAACTATTTAAATTATGATTTATGTACAGTGTCGTGTAAAACGAGCAGTTTTATATTGGACACATTCCGTAAGCATTCGTATTTTCGTTTATAAATTCAACCCGGAACCCATAAAGCTATCAAGTGATGTACATAACGACTGCTTCATAATACATAAATATTTCTCAAGGGTGAAAAAGCTCATCCTAAGAGAGCTTTCGTTCGGAAAGCTCGCGCTGCTAAAGAGCGCAATGACTATGCATTCTTTACATGCTCTTGTTTTCCTTCCCTCGGCGACTTTTGGTTTTAATAACAACGCATCAACGAGATGCACTTATTCACGTTTATGACTCTTATGAAAATATAAATTACATTATAATTTTTCT